TCGGGGTCTCTCTCTCTGTATTTGGGGAGGGGTCTCTCTCTGTTTCTGGGTTCTCACAGCCCCGTTTCGGGGTGTCCCCCCCGTTTCCAGCCCGCTGGTGCTGGGGAACCTGTGGGACGTCACGGACCGGGACCTGGACCGGCTGGCGCAGGCGCTGCTGCGGGGCTGGCTGGGGGGCGGCCCCGGGACCCCCCTGCTGGCCCAGCTGGCCCAGGCCCGCCAAGCCCCCCGCCTCAAATCCCTCATTGGGGCCGCCCCCGTGGCCTACGGGCTCCCGGTCAGCCTCTGCTGAGGGGGGGGCACGCTCTGGGGGGGGACCTTGGTGCTTTTGGGGTTCCCCCCTGGCTTGGAGTGGGAGTTTGGGGTCCCTTTGGCATCTTTTGGGGTCCCTTTGGGGTTCCCCCATTGCTTGGAGTGGGAGTTTGGGGTCCCTTTGGCATCTTTGGGGTTCCCCCATTGCTTGGAGTGAGGATTTGGGGTCCCTTTGGCATCTTTGGGGTTCCCCCATTGCTTGGAGTGAGGATTTGGGGTCCCTTTGGCATCTTTGGGGTCCCCCCCCATTGCCCAGGGGCTGCCCTGGGGTGAAGTTTTGGGGTCCTTTTGTCACCTTTGGGGTCCCTTTGGCATCTTCAGGGGTCCCCCCATTGCCTCGAGTGAAGGTTTGGGGTCCCCCCATCATCTTTGGGGTCCCCCCCATTGCCCAGGGGCTGCCCTGGGGGTGAAGGTTTGGGGTCCCCCCATTGCCTGGACTAAAGATTTGGGGTCCCTTTGGCATCTTTGGGGTTCCCCCATCACTTGGAGAGAGGATTTAGGGTTCCCCCATTGCCTGGAGTGAATTTTTGGGGGGACTCCCGTGGTTTTTGGGGTCCCCCCGTTATTTATAGGGGAGAGCTGGGGGTCCCCCCGTCCCTTTTGGAATCCACTTGTGGCCTTGGGGGCCCCCATTTGTCACTTTTGGGGTCCCCCCATTACCTCTGGTGACACTTTTGGGGCTCCCACCCCTGCGGGGATTTTTGGGGTGTCTGAAGGAGAGGGGAGGGTTGGAAATGCCTTGATTTTAATGAAATTTTAATGAAATTTTAACAAAATTTTTAACGAAATTTGGTTTTATTCGCCTGTTTTGCAACAATAAAGCTGCTGCCTCTGCACTGACCTCTCCTGAGTCTTTCTGGGATCCCCCAAATTTCTCCTGGACGCCCCAAAACTCCCTCCGAACGCCTCTTTTCCTTGGGGGGGGGGGTACACTAGACCCCCTCCCCAATCCTCCAAGCCGCCAGGGGGCGGGCTCACAGGTGGCGGGGCGCGGTCCTCCAAGCCGCTAGGGAGCGAGCTCACAGGTGGAGGGCGCGGTCCTCCAAGCCGCCAGGGGTCGCTGTGGCGGCGGGCGCGGCCCCGGCTGAGGGCGGGCGGTCCAAGATGGCGCAGGCCGTGAGCGTGGGGGAGCTGGGGCTGCCCCAGCTGGAGCTGCTCAAGGGGCAGCTGGAGCAGGTCCGGGGGGCTCGGGAAGGGGCTTGGGGCAGGTCTGGGGGTCGTGGGGAGCGAGGGAAGCCGGGGGGGGAG